AGCTGATGTGCCAGACACCAGGACTTACCCTGACTCTTCCTCCCCTGGACACCGCGCCCCACCCCTCACCAAGCGAACCCATCTGCTGGTCCCTGTGCCTACTGCCACAACTCTAATCCAAGCTCCCGTCTCCCCACTGGACCAGTGCAGTCTCTCTGGGTTTGGCTGGGGTCTAATATTCTCTCCATACGGCAGCCTGAGTCTTTTTTTTTTTTTTTTTAAGCAGGCTCCACGCCCAGTGTGGAGCCCAATGCGGGGCTTGAACTCATGACCCCGAGATCAAGACCAGAACCGAGATCAAGGGTGGACACTTAACTGACTGAGCCACCCAGGCGTCTTTTTCTCAAGTGCACATCTTATCCTATTGTTGCCTTACTTCCACCTGTGGATGACTGCTCAGGGCTCTTGAATAAAGATAAGCCTCCACAGGTGCTCTTGTTCCCCCATCAAGGTGTGAAAAGTCGCCCACAGGCAGGGTCCCACCCACAAATGGAAGGTGATTGTTTTTTTAAGGTCAACTGTTTTTTTAAGGTTTCCAATGTTTAAAAATCAAGAAATACAACATAAATACCTGGAGTCTAACTTCTCTTGGAAATCAGAAAATCTATCAGCGGTAGCCCAGTATCTTCTGTCATGGAAACAGCAGCAGCTGTTCTCACTGGACAGGGCATGTCCCCCCAGCTGCCACAGCCCCACCGAACCCCCTCATCTTGCCCACCCTTCATTGTACTCGCAGTGCGTGGACCTCCTGCCCCACGGGATGTGGCCCCTGCATACCATTCCGGTGCCCCCCCCTCTTCCTTTCAGTGCCCCAGCCCCCCTGGGGCTTCTGCCTCTGCACAAATGACAGGGCCTTCACTTACACTGTCCCCTCTACCTGGAACACTCTCCCGCCTCTGCCTCTCTCACCCTCCAGCAGCCTGGCCTGGGTAAATCCTACTAATCCTCAAGGCAGGAGTTTCAGTGTCACTTCAACAGGAAAACCAACCATTCCTGGCACCCTGCTCTAGGACAGTGCCCTACCTTTCACCCACCATGCTGGTGATCTTTGGTTACTTGTCTTTCCTGTGAACTCCCCAAGGGGAAGACCTGGTGTCTGATCTCTGTGCATGGCCACCAGCAACCAGCCCAACACATGGCACAGAGCAGCTTTCTAAATATTTGCTGAATGAGGGAATAAACTTGCAACCTCTGGATTTCACGTACATACACATCAGTAAGACAAGATCTACTGGATGGAAAAGATGCAGAAGCAAACAGAAATGATAGCATGGGACAGGTTCCTGCGTAAGGTGTCCGTTCCGGGGACATGCTGAACAGTGTCATTGTTTGCCAGAGATGTTCCCCAGGGAAAGTCATGTTGGAGTGGAGCCTGGGGACCTGGGACTTGCAAGCATGCCTGCTACCAAGGAGGACTCTGGCTTACGGAGGTGGTGACCTGCCCAGGGTCACACGGTCCCTGCAGACCATGAGCACCATAAATGTCAGAATATACCTAGTTCATGTACATGCCCAAGGCTGTAGCTCCAGCAGCCAACACAATACTCAAGAATGTGCCGAACGAGTAAAGGAGTGAGTGAATGAAGAGACAAGACAGAGGTTTAAGAAAGACCAAGGGAACTGCTACGGATGAAATGTTTGCATCCCACACCCCCCTGACAAATTCACATGTTGAAACCTAACCCCAAGGTGATGATGTTAGGACACGGAGCCCCTGGGAGGTGAATAGGTCGTGAGGGTAGAGTCCCTACAAATAAGATGAAAGCCTTTATCCGAAAAGACCTGGAAAAGAGGATTTCTCCCCATTTGAGGACACAGTGAGAAGGCGGTGGCCCACAAGGCAGGAAGTGGGCCCTCTCCAGATCTGGGCCCCTGATCTCAGACTTCCTGCCTCCAGAACTGTGGGGTACAAACTCTCTTGTTTGGAAGCTGCCCAGCCTGAGCTAAGACAGGCTCCCAGTGGCAGGAAGGACCTGACGCTGAATTGAGGAGTGCGATGAAGAGTTGGAACTTATCTTGAAAGAGAAAAGCTTAGCCTCTATGGAGGCAGATATTCGTTTACTTTTTCAGTCTGGGAGGACAACAGTCCTATTTGTTGACTTTAAAACACATTTTTACATTTAAGGGACAGAGGCTGTCATTGTTACATTGTCTTTATTTTTGTCACACACTTATGTTGACTTTTACAATTTTTAAAATTTTAAAAACAAAAAGCAAGAGTCTCTTTAATGTGGAATCTCACCTTGGTAAGGAGACTATTTCCACCATGCTCACATGAATTATAGAAATCATCACGCATGTGACAACCACAGATGTAAAGTGTGAGTTGTTTTTGCTTTTGCAAAAGAGAAAAACAAAACTGTGGCCATAGTAACCCAAAAGGGTTGATAATGAAAGATGAGAAGCAGATGCTTCTGCAGTGACCTGGATCAGGTGAAGTGTCAAAAGGCCTATGCAATGTTATGGAACTGTACACTTCAAAATGGTTAAAATGCTAAATCTTATGCATATTTTAACACAATAAAAAGCATTAGGAAACACTGGAAAATATTTTTAAGTGATAAATGTCACCCAGCTCCCATTATCTTGCCATGCTTGATTCCTCTGCTTATTAACCTTCCCTGAATGAGGCAGGAGCTGGCTCTAGGGTCACGAAGGCTCAGGCATAAAGGGGTCCTGTACTCTCCCTACCTAAGCTCTTACGGTCTTGTTGTGATTTATAAAAAGAAACATATCTTTGGTCTTCCTCATTTCTGGCACAGAGCTCCTAAAACCCTTGGAATTTCCTAAGTGATAAGAGTAATAAAGGTGTCTTGATATTCACAAAGACCCCTTTAAGCCACACCTGAGTTTATGTTAATGCAGTGACTTTTGGACAGCATCTAAGGGTGGGGGCTGGGTGCCATCAGAGCCAAGCAACCAAGTGACCTGAAACCTCCAGGGAGGGGAGAGAGCTGGATATTGAGTTCAGTCGCCAATGGCCAATGATCTCAACAACTCTGCCTTTGTAATGAAGCCTCCACAACCGCCCCCCCGCCTCCAAAGGATGGGGTTTGGGAAGGCTTTCAGGTTGGTGAACATGGGAGATTCTGGGAGAATGACACTGGGGAGAAGGCAGGGACCTCCATGCCCTCCGCATGCCTTTCCCCGTGTGTCTCTTTCCTCTGGCCGTTGGGAGTTCTATCCTTTTATGATAAACCGGTAATCTCGTAAGTAGATTGGGACCCTGTGTCCTGTGAGCTGCTCTAACCAGTTAACCGAACCCAAGGAGGAGATCGTAGGAACCACTGATTTATAGCCAGTTGGTCAGAAGCGCAGGTGACCACCTGGACTTGCAATCGGCATCTGAAGTGGGGACAGGCTCGTGGGACTGAGCCCCGACCCCGTGGCGTCTGACGCCGTGTCCAGGTAGATGGTGTCAGAATTGAGCTGAATTGCAGGACACCCGGCTGGTGTGAATTGCTTGATGTGGGGAAAGAACCAGCACATCAGAATCAGTGTCAGAATCCTGCTTACACTCTGAGGGAGCCCAGTGTGTCCTGTTCCTAGCTGTGTAAGACCCAGCTGTGGGTCTGGAAGCAGACAGACCGGGGGCCTGGTTTCAGCTCCATGTTTATAGGAGTCAGTTCTCGACCTCACGTCCCTCAGCTTCCACGTCCACAGCTGCAGAGGTGAGCCACTCACAGAGAAGCTGTGAGGGTTTGGATGGCATAAAAAATCACTACTGTGTGAGGTGCACATTGTCATGTCTGTTCCAACTGCCACCTCCCCCTGCAGGGGTGCAGCTCACAGGGTCTGCCAGATGTGCTCTGTCCAAGCACCAGACCATGGGGGGCAGTGGACGTCCCACCATCACCAGTGGTTCATCTCCTCCCTCCCTCCAATCTTCCAGGGTGCGTGGGAAGGCCAGGCTCTTCTTCCCTCATCCTGGTGGGACAGGGAGGCAGCAAGTCTGTGGACTCCATCCCCTCCCCGTCTCCCCAGGGCCACCGCCTCAGTCCCTCTCTCTAGTCTCTGCCAGGTCCTCCCTTCCCTTCCGACCCTTCCCGCCCCAGTCCACATGTCCACACCATCCCTACCCCCAGAGCCACCTTCTAACTTGGACCTGGCCACATCACTGCCCTGCTCAAGTACCACTGGGCTCCCAAGTGCCGCAGGACGAAATCTACTGGGGCTCAATGAACAGGCACCTCGCTTCTCATGCTCCCCGCACAGGCTCTCCCCTCAGCCCTCAAGGTATTTGAATCCTGGCAGGGCCAGTTCTCATCGCAGGCCTTTTCTTCTGTTACCCCTGTCTCTGCAACGTCTTCTCTCCAAACCCCATTTTTACCTGCCTAACTCCTGCTCAGCTGCATGGCTTCATCTAGAGACCACCTCTTCTGGGTAGCCTTCCTTGATGCCACCCTCCCCACCCTGGGTGAGGCTTTCCTCCTTGCCAAGGCCACACAACAAGTACACTGTTGAACTGGGATTCCAAGTCAGGCCCTCCCGCTTCCCAAAACAGAAGACTGTGCAACCACATATTTGTGTAGGAAAGAAAGAAAGAGTGAGGTAGAACAAAGCAAAACATCCTGGAAAGATGCCCCAGCTCTAGTAAATGAAAACAGCAAGCTGTAGAACAATGTGCATGGCATGGTTCCATTTTAAAAACTATATATGTTTATATAGGTTTGTATAAGCAAAGAAGAAAACCTCGATACAAATTGAGCTGCAGACAATAGCTATTGGGTGGGTGGATCTGAACATTCTGTAAGGTTTGCATTTGTTATGTATTGTTTATGTTCTAAAAAAATGAAAAAGAAGACACAACCGAAGGAACTCAATAACGGTTCTCCAATAATAAATGAAAGGCCTGCATGCTCAGGAATCCCGAGACACAGGGACGAGACTTTGGAGGCAGGGTTCACCTCCAACTACGCTTGGTCCTGGAAGGGACACAGGGAACTGAGAGAATGGCATGAAATGAGAAGGGTCAAGGTGAGCAGGCAAGCCACACTTACCTTTCCCAGCAGCTCAGGCAGGCCCAGCACCTGCCCGGTGAACACGCCAATGCAGATGAAGATGGCGGTGACCTGCCCCAGAGAGCCACGGATCTCCTTGGGCGAGATCTCGTTCAGGTACATGGGGAGTGCGCTGAGGGCGATGCCTGTGAAAGAAGCATGGCAGCCGTGAGAGGGCTGTCTTCTCCAAGGGAGGAGTACCCTGGGCAGTGAGATGGCCTTCATTCTCAAGGAAGACTAGTCAGAGCCCTTCCCTCTGCCGTGCCCTCTCAAGAACAGCAGGATAGCCACAACATCACTCCCAGCATCTGCACAGACGGCCGATGCTTTCACATGCCCTGTATCCTGTCGTCCATAAGGTATGGTTGGGAGGTAGATTTCATAGAAAGGGAAACAGATGATGATGGTGGTGGTGGTGGTGATGGTAGTGATGGTGATGGTGGTGGTGGTGATGATGATGATGATGGTGGTAGTGGTGATGATGGTGGTGATGGTGATGATGGTGGTGATGGTTATGGTGGTGATAGTGATGGTGGTGGTGGTGATGGTGATGGTGGTGGTGGTGATGATGATGGTG